TGGACATGAACACTGTTAATACATTCAGATTAGGGGAGTCAGGAGTCAAGTACAAAGAGAAGGAAATACTTGATGGTTAACACTAACACTGACCTCCAGTCTTATTGCAGTGAGACAGCTATTAATAGAAAATCTTGTAAGAGAGAACACCGGTGCTACTAATGGAATATTTTCATGAGAGACGACCCCTTTGAAGGTTTGTTGTTTCCTAACCAGTGCTGCATGTGGACTCCAATGGCATCCAAGTAGATGCTGCCCCTCCCATGGAAGCCCACCACCTTCCCTTCCGTTTTGATGGAAGAGAAAAAAGTACCCACTTCCTCTCCATACGGACCATACTTTTTTCTGCTGGTAGTAAATGTGAGAGACTTTATCACCCTTGGTCCATAATCTCCATTGATGGGTCCATAAAATCCGCTTAAGCAGGTAAGCACTTCATGGGGATAGTCCAGTTTAATCTAAAACAACCATCAACACAAGATTAGATGAAGATTAAGGATCAGTGTAAGAAGAATAATGAATGATAATTACCGCAGTTGGAGTCCCCACACCATCGCCTCCGTGTTTTACAGACCAAACGGATTGTCCATTTAGATCATACTCAATTTGTATTGAAGATATGGCCTCATTTCTGGTTAGGTAGATTTGCTTGATCCCCAAAAACACTCCATCATCCCATGGCCTCCCTCCCTCTCCACCCCACGGTCCTGTCTCACATAAAGCTGGCTCTTTCACAACCCGTTGTACCACCTGAGAAAATTTGACTATCACTGAATTAGGCCCATCACTATTTTTGTGAATATGTTTTCAATGTGTCCACACAATTTAAGTTTTTAACTCTTAAAACATTTTAATATTAACTGCATGCCACAATATTTAATATCCAATCATTTAAATCCGAAATCTAATTAGAAATACATTAAAATTTTAAGTCAAATATTTGAGTGGCCATTGAATACTTAATATAATCAATAATAAATAGTCTTCATTTTCGTTCTGAGCTATTATGTACAGCGAAAATTTGTGGACCTCAAAAATTCAGTAATTTCAGCTCCAAAATTTACTGTTTACAACTTTTACCGCTAGGGTTCAATTTTATCAAAAAAGGCTTTATCATATTACCTCATCAGTAGGCCTATGTGCTCGCCTTGGTAGAGCTAGTCTACTAGACCAGCGCGGTTTATCAGTATCATTAGCAGGTACTTCACTTTGGCTAGTCGGAATTGATGACGAAGGACGTACTGGCGATGGTAGCATTGACACTTCACTTTGACCAGAGGGATTGGATGGAGGACGTGCCGGCAATAGCAAAGTTGGCGATGTTACTTTCCCTTTGATTTTTTCATCTTCACTATAAGGGTCGGAAGGTTGCCTTATGGCCAGTGTCACTTTCCCTTCCATCACATGGACGCCAATGGCATCAAGAAACAAGCCTTTCCTCCCATGGAATCCAACAATCTTACCTTCCTTTAAGTTGGTGGTGAAGTGTTGACCTTGTTCCTCTCCGAATGGTCCGTACTTAGTCTTTGTAGTATGGAATGAGAGAGACCTGATCACAGTTGGCCCCATAATCATTGCAGGTCCATAGTATCCTGATATATGCGTCAAGATTTCACAGGGATAGTCGAAAGTTATCTGCACCAAATGGCAGAAAATTTGAAAAATTCAACTTTCATCATCCTTGATAATAATAATGATGAAATTCACCACAAGGACAACCGGAAGGTTGATTTACCCTTTCAGACTTGAATCCACCAGTCCCTCCATTTTTGCTTCCCCAAATATCTTCCCCGTCTTGGTCATACTGAACTCTTATTGAAACTATTCCCACATTGCGTGATAAAAGAATTTGTTTAACACCTGTGTGGACTCCATCATCAAACATGGTGCCACCGTTGCCCCCCCAGGCTCCATATGTAATGATGCGTTTATCAAGATCTGACGGGTACTTCTTGATGGGTTTGGAAAGGATACGAGCCCTAGACACCTGAATTATGATTACGGTTTATATTACAACAATCTGCAAGAAAGCTTTCAGTTAAAGGTTAAGAAAGAAATGGCTTGTTTGCGGAAATCTTACCTTAGCATCTGAATCTGAATCACTGGACTCTTCAGAACCAGAGCTTTGCCTCGGGAGATTATTTGGCAATTGATAACCATAATTATTTGGCGATGGATAACCATAATTATTTGGCGGTTGATAACTGTACTCGTTCTTCTGTCTAAAAGCAAGAATGACATCATAGTTGTTGCCTAGACTTCCTTGTACTACAGAGTATCCATAACTCTCTGTCCCACTAGCAAAACAATGAGACTGAACTATAGGATTTAAAGGGTTTGTCCTCGGGAGGTGAGGCTCTAGGTAAGCTCCCAAGGCATCAAGATACCAACCACACTTGCCATGGAATCCAACAATTCTTCCCCCAATCTTTGGAAACGAGAAGCATGTCCCTTGTTCAATTCCATACGGTCCATAAGTCTTCTTGTTACTTGTGAAAGAAAGCGAACGAATGGAAACTGGTCCCCGTTCATTCAAGCTACTATAGTGGCCCTGGATTGATGTCAGATATTCATTAGGGTAGTCAAGCTTGACCTGCAATATGTAGACCATCAGATAGAATATTAAGAGTCTATGAACAACAATTGTGTGCCACCCACATAAGAGCACCAGAACCTGTGAAGAAAATGGTTTTGTGCTATGGTCACAGGAAGTAAATTTAGAAGTGAAAAAGATTATTCAGCAAAAATGGTAAGACCAAGCCAATTAAGTACATGAACTAACTTGATCAGTTTTGGGGCCTCCACTGCCACCATGCTTCTCTGACCATACTGAGGTTCCTTTATCATCATACTCAATCCGAATGGAGTCGATGACAGCTCCATGAGCAATCACCAACTGTCTTATGCCAGAATGTACACCATCATCCCAACGATATCCATCTTGGCCTCCCCAAGGCCCAACTGACATGGTGCTCCTCCCATAGTCCACCATACTCTGTAATACATAATCAGTCATCAGATGATAAGCCAGTTATTCAAGTAGTTAATAATACATTGAGTTCATGATTATAAACAAAAAACCAGATGTTACCACGTTTCAACCGGAGAAGAGAGAGAGAGATTTGGAAGAATAAACACAACAGATATGTGCGTTGCTGAGATGAATGTCGAATCCAGAGGGAAGGACAAAAGGAATTTATTGAGAACAAGAAAGGTGCACAAATGGTGTAATATTAGAAACAAATTGATATTCCGGAGTCCACTATGGACGGAATGAATTGAAAGGAAGAGAATTGGATCCTCCAAATATAAGGAAAATTCCAAACCCCTGGCCTTGTTTTTCCTCTTGATATAAATATTCCACGCACAGATGCACTACGATGTTGTACGATGTTCTCGATTCTGAATGAATAACAGTTCAGAGGGAAGTATACAGCCCAAATTATTGAATTGACTTGTAAAACTCCAGTAACTTTCAATTCTTGCATCCGTTCCCTTGATTATTTTTTTTTTTAAAATTTGGTTTGAACAGGAAGAAAAACAAAACCCTCATAAACCAGTTTTTCAATCTCTTTATTCTCAATCATTTCCGCCCAAAATCCGGACAGACTTGCCTTGACAATCTGCTTCAAACATTGTCGCAGAGAAGAATTCAGGCAAGACCCATTAACCTTTTACTTTCGTAGAACTGCAATACATTATTAAACAAACAAATAGCGAGATAGTAATGCCTTTGTGAATTCGAAGAAAGAAACAGCTACGTCACTCTTCCAATTTGATTACCATAAAATCATGAGATGACATCTAAATCTGCTTCCCCAAAAGGAAACGTGGACGTAGTTCCAACAGGATCAAAAAAGGAAAGCAGGGACTTGGCAACGAAATAAGAAAAATTAAGAACCACCTTTTTCTTCTCAACCAGCCCGCTACACTAGCATATTTTGCGTGCCATCCTTCAGATTCCAACCTTAGTTTCTCAACGAGTCAGGAAAATTCAACTTCTCATCTTTCTATAGCTGGTCACTGATCTTTTGCCAAGCCTGATTTTGTATGCTTTTGAAATGGAAGCTGTCACACCCTACTCCAATCTAATAAGTGGGTGCGACAGCCGGGCAAAGGCCAACACCCTGTCAGAATAAAAATCTAACAACATGTCGGCCTTTGTAAACCTTTACAGTGTCATTTGATTATAAAATCTATGTCCGCATACCTGTAGCTTGCATATGATATGTATATTTCTAAGGAAAGCTAGAATCATTATTTTGTATAACTTTGCAAAACTAAATAATTGGCAACAGGTATATCTATGCATATTTTAATATACAAAGCATAACGTGGTAATTAATTTACACACTAGTTCATCTAATTAAATAATGCACAACTATGTACATTTCAAAAATTTACTACACCACCCCATCACTCAACCCCCAAAATACAAAATAACAAAATGGTCATGAAGATTCTGGAGCCTAGCCACATCTCTACTACAGTGTAGTGATGCCAATGATGCAAAAAGAGTCTTCCTAAGGCTGTCTGCCAAGTCTGCAAGGTGGAAAAAAATAATAAAATGAGACAGAATCCCAATAAATGGCACGTAAGTTAAACCCAGTGAAAACAGATAGGGTTTCATAGCAATAGCATATCTGAGCATATTTCATAAAGTATCTCAATAGCAGAAATACTAAAATCATAAAATAGGAAACATCATTGAGTCTCTGAAAGTCTTCAGGTTTTAGAATCTGTATAAACAAGCATACATAATATTTTAAACATGTCATAGCATAATCCTCTAAAACAAAACTTTCAACGGAAAACATGCATGAATGCTCTGGCCTGATGTGCACAACAGGGTAATGTCTGGGGGGCAGTATGCATGAAAACATAAAATCTGGGACACAGTATGGCCCTCGTTAGGGCAAACCATGTCAAAACATGTCGGGCACTACACGCCGTGCAATTGACACCGTGGGTCGCCACTCAAGGCCAACTAACACAGCTTTTGGCGTCTAAACCCCCATTGGGGCATAAAGCATATGACATCAGAGTATGTAGAACTGCCACCTGCCCCAGGTGACTGTCCGACGTCTCATAATAAAACATAATAAACATCATAGCAATATCATAAAAACATCTATATGAAATCAGAAAAAAGCTATCTGTTTCCCAAGTTTCAAATACAAGATACACATGTTAAAAAATAAATTATATCAGCTCGTGGAAGCACATTTTTAAGAAAACTTCTAAGTTTAAGGGGAGTGCCATTCACAGTATGTATGCTCTCCTATGGCTCCACTGGGCCTAGCTGTTCTGGGTCGTGGTCCTCTCTAATATGTACTCCTATATAAAATGAGTATACAAATGTAAATGTGAAGTTAGGAAATAAAGATATAAATGCATATGCATGCTAAATTGTCTAATTAGTCTAGTCATTAGTTTTTCTTTTCTAAATCTTGGAAAGGTGCTCTAGTTTAATCTTTTTTCTTTGAAATCCCTTAACCCCCTTTCACGGAGCTATAATTAGGTGTACAATTGAGCTCTATTAGAGGTTCTCTAAGGAATCAAAAATCATTTGCTTCCAACTCTTAGGTTGCAGAAAATTTCTGTTCTCTTATAGACTTAGTGTTTCAATTTTAATCCCTTTATAGTCTAAATTTTCTTCCTATTTTTGAATCTATTTGGAGACTCTTTTTGGCCCTTATTTAAATACCATTTCGTGGCCCCCCTTGCTAAGGGTGTACTTCTACACAACCATTTCCTAAAACACAATTTTCTACTACAGAAAATTTCAGCATCCACTCCCCTCACCTCTAGCTAGGTTTTACTCGGTTTAGACTTGACTTTTGCTTTCTTTCCTAACTGGTTCTTGCTTGGCTAACTTAACCATCCAATCCCCTATTTGTTAACATTAATTTAGAGTCTATTCCATGCCCTAAAATGTCCAGCCAAAGGGGGGGTTTGCTGCAGAAAATTTTCTGCACACCTTAAACTCCATCCTTCCTTCATTTTTCTTCTTATTTTGTATTTATTTTCTAGACTTTATGCCATTCATGGCCTCTCCTCATGCAAACCAAACCCTCACCTCTGTTTCTCCCCTGTTTTAGCCTCAAACAACACCAAAAATTCCATAAGAAGCCATAGGAATACATGTTTTCCTCAAGCACAACAAGGTTACAAGTTATTTTCCAAAAATTCATCAAGTGGTGCAACAAATTTCTCTCCACCACATAGATTCAATTTCTCTCTTTCCAGCACCCATACCAGCTTCAAAATAGAATTCTAAACCGATTAAAGTGTGCAAAAATGAAAACTTGAGCAAGATATACAAAATTTCTAAGTAAAAATCCAAGAAGATTAAAAAAAATCACTATTCTTACCTTTCTTTTCTTTTTCTCTTCCTTTCCTCTCTTCTCTTTCTCGTTGCTCCTCTTCATGGCTAGTTGTGAAATACTCTAGAGAGTTGTATATATGTATATCTCACTCTTCTTAAGCAATTGAAACACTCCTTCAATTCCTATTGGTCCTCAAAAAAGTAAACTACACTGACCTTTCATTCATTGGCTCCTTTGACTTTGCACCACTTTTCCATCTTTTTCACTTCTTTCCCTTTTATATTTCGTCGCTTTCTTTGAGCAGCCTAGAAACTGCATATATATATATATATATATATAAAATTAACCATAAATGGAGAGCACAAAGCTCCCTTAAAATTTACAAAATGGTCCTCCAACTATTTCCCTCTTCTTTTCAAGCCCCTTCATTTTTTTTTTTCTATAATCTTGAAGACAGCCGACAAGACCAATAAAACTCACCACAAATCCCACTAGCTTCTTTCTCTTCTTCATCAATGAAATGCCGGCCTATCTTTAGTTTGGAATGACCACGTGCAACAGAAAAACACAACTTTTATGTAAAGAAAGAAGTATATTTGAAATTTGATGATGCCCTTTTCTATTATCACCTCATAAAATTTTAGGGTTACAGAAAATTAAGTGCTTTAGAGAACCAGATGACCTAATCAACATATAACAAACCAAGATGCAAAACAATCTGATTGCAAGAATTTACACACATTTTGTAGAAGAACCAGTATTTCTTCTTCAGATTCCTGATACATGATTGGGGACATATGTCAAACACCAGAATTTACTGCTTTTTAAAGATTTTGATGCAAGAAGAATATGATACCAAATTTCAGTTAACTAAGCTGAATATTTATAAGAGAGCATGCCGAGAATTACACTTACCTCTGATACCTTCTATTGTGGCAATGTTAGACAGAGAATATTGTTTTAAAACCAATCTTTGGAGAAGTCTGATGTTCCTTGTATTCCTTATCTACCAGTAATCACCACATGAGCAATGTCCATCCTTAATGTGGTGCAAGCATGCAGGGTCTTTCAAATATATTTTACACCCATGTGTCATGGAGATAAATTTAGCCAATCTGTGGCAATCACTACATATTCTAAGATTTTTTATAATCCGTATACTTTTAGATGCTTGAGTTGAACCAATTAAAGCAAAAGCAATTGCAAGTTTTTCACTATGGACCCCACTAATTTCTTCGTTTTCTTCTTCCAAAAAGAAAAGTCCCTGATGTGATTCAGGTTTCCTGATTTCTCCAGCCATTTTTTTCACCCAAGAGTGTAGAATTTCAGAATTTGGTTTAGATTGATCACCTGCAACAAATGTATGTACAACATTTCTAACTTCAATCCAGCTCCATCCAAGAGATCTTTCAGTATCATTCCCCTTGTAAGCCTTTCTTGCATTGAATGATTCATCAGAGTTCCCTCTTATTGCATACATCTGTAAGACAAACTGCTGAATCAAGGCATTCCCTGGCTTTAATTCAAGTAACCTTTCCCCAGCATAAATTGCCAAATTAACATTGCCATGAACCTTGCAAGCAATTAATAAGGCAGACCAAACAGAGAAGTCAGGTTCTATGGTCATATTCTCAATAAATTCAACTGCTTCCTCAAGCCTACCAGCACGACCAAATAGATGTACCATGGCTACATAGTGCTCCATAGATGGCAAAACAAAATAGTCTTCTGTCATGCTAGAGAAAATTTGCTTTCCCTTCTCAACCATTCCACCAAGACCACATGCAGAGATAACAGACAAAAATGTACCTCGGTTCAGTTTAAGTCCCACATTTTTCATCTGTTCAAGTAATGCCAGTGCAGTGTTTGAACAACCAAGCAAAACAGAACCAGCAATCATTGTGTTCCAGGTGACAATGTCCTTGGTTGACATTCTATCAAAAATTTTTCTTGAATATACTAGATTCCCCGCCTTGGCATAAGAATCTATTAAAGAGTTTAAAACAGACAAATCAGACCCTAAATTATGGCGAAATACACAAGCATGAATCTCTTTAACTTTCTTTGCATCAACTAAATTCGCACATGCAGGTAAGAGGCTCAATATAGTAACTGGATTTGGTCTAACACAGTATAACTGCATTTGTCGAAATATTCCCAATGCCTTATTTTTCTGTCCAGTCTGCAAGTATCCGGCAATAAGAGAGTTCCACGATGCAGTATCTCGCTTGATGGTCCCATCCTTCTCCATCCTCTGAAAAAGATCCATGGCTAGATCCTCATCTCCATTTTGCATATGTCCAGTGATCATGACATTCCATGTGATTACATTAGGTGCTATACCTGATTGCCGCATGCTCATGAACAGATCATGGGCTTTCCCACAGTAACCAGCTTGGCAGTAGCCTGAAATCATTGAGTTCCAAGTGCAGACATCTTTTTCTAAGATCATGTCAAAAACCTGCCTAGCAGCTTCTAGTTTTCCACACTTGGAATACAAGTCAATGAGAGAATTTCTTATCAGCACATCTTCATCTAATCCCATCTTAACTGCTATAGAGTGGAGCTCCATCCCTTTCCATAATGCTGTAAAAGATGCACATGCAGAGATTGCAGTCATAAGCGTAACTGCATTTGGTTCAACCCCTACCAAAAGCATTTCCCTGAACATATCTAATGCCTGAACTATCCTGTTACTTTGAGCCAATCCTGATACCATAGAAGTCCAAGTGACAACATCAGGAGTGATCCCGCAACCCTCCATTTCCTTCATGACTTCCATAGCAAGATCACAGTTTCCCAGCTGGTTGTAACTGGTTATAAATATGTTCCAAGTTACCAATCCCGGTTCAAACCCATCTTTTTGCATCAAACTAAGAAGCCAACGGGCCTCTTCAATCTTGCCTGTCAAACAATACCCAGTTATAATTGAGTTCCAAGACACCTTGTCCTTCCCGTCCATTTTATCAAAAAACTTCCTCGCCAAACTCAACTCCCCACATTTGGCATACACTGCCAAAATGGTATTGTTAACACGGATTTCAGAGCTCATCCCACAACGAATCACAATTGAATGTATCAACTTACCGGTCTCGACATCGCGACAATTCCCACAAGCCTGCAAAATCTTCGGAAAAAGAAAATCATCAGGAACCACACCCTCTTGCATCATTGAATAGAATAGGTCCACCACGTCCCTCCATCTCCGTTCTCTTGAACAAGCACCAATCATGGCCGACCATGCATACAAATCCCTCTCGTGCATTTCATCAAATACCCTACGTGCATCCGCCAAGTACCCACATTTAGCATACATACCAACCAGTTTTGTCTCAATGAATGGATCTATTTCCATCAATAACCCAATATGCTGGTAGAGTTTATGCCCTAAAGTGGTTGACTTCGAATCAGTGCACGACTCTATCAATCGAGTCAAGGTGTGGGACCTTACTTTAAACCCACTTTGGGAAATCGAATCGAGGGCGGCTACGGCTTCGCTGAGCCGTCCATTCATGCAGAGGTAATTCAAGTAAGCATCTGTGGTTTTTGGATCTAATTTTATGGACGATGGTTCCCGGGTCTTGTTGAAAGAAACGTGGGGTTTGAGCGGCTTTGATGAATGTTCAGAAGCTGTTTCTACTTTGAGGGGTGTTGCTAACGGAGGAGTTGAATTGCTATGTACGACCAAACCCTCCATTGTAGGATTGCCTTTTCTCTAATGTTTGTTATACGTATCTTATCTCCAGCCCGACTTTCTTCAATCCGAAGAGGAAGTGCAGAAATGTAGCTAAGCTCCAGTGCCACCCAACGACGCAGGGGACCTGCTGCTAAGACAATAAGCAGCTACTGTTATCTTTCCAGTTTTACATCCAATAAACTAGTGCCACGTGGAGACCATACTCACAGCTGTGGATGAACAAGGCTTTAAAAAAAATACTTTTTTGGTAAATAAAATTTTGTTGTATAAAATTAATTACAAGTAAAAAAGTTAATCCGTTAACTCTGCTGTCAACTAGATTTATACCTTAAACAAGAAATGAAATAATTTTGAATTTCGACTTGATACTGAGTCGACCATTTATCTTTTATTTTTTTTCAAATTCTAATTTGTAATAATATTGTTTGTGATTTCATATTATTTTAATAAAATGCAAATTTTATTTGGACACCATCTAGAAAATGTTTGCTAGTTTCCAACATTGCATTGATACTGACCATGTTTAAAGCGGATTAGAAGAGTATTTGATCCAATAATTAACTTTTATAATATTTGTATTTATTAAAAGGTTGAAATAAAAATTGACAAAAATCTTTTTAAAATAAGATATGTAAGTTTTTTTATACTAATATTGTATATATTTTTACTTAGGTAAAATTAACTTTTATCGAAAAGTTAATTCTTACCCAATTAATTTTTAAATAAAAATCAATTCAATCCAAATTAACTATTCAATGGAAGTCGGTTAATACCAAGCCAACTTCTCGTTCTCATTTTTCTTCTTCACAAAATTTACGAGGCTTCCTCGTCTTCTGGTGAGTAGGTGTGCCACGCAAGCACAAATCTGAAGCGACAGGGTGGTTGAGTGGCAAGTGATGGGCAAAAACCTGTGACTCTTTTGGCTGCACTTTTCTTCATTCCCCTTACTTGCCTCTCTGGGAAGGAGAAGACTCCAACTCTATTCAGCCCCTCTTTCTCGTGCGCTCAATTGTCACTCCGTCTCACTAGACAGATCTATTTCCACAGGAGTTGTGTGCAAAGCTCACATTCAAGCATTGCATAGAACTCTTAAGGGCCTGTGCCGACTTTCCTAGAAAGTTAGCTCAATAATAATTAATTTATTTGAAAAGTCAGTTTTGTTCTTGCTTACTTCTTTGTGAAAATTAGTTTGATTCAAACTGACGTTGCAACAAAAGTTGTTTCTAAGATTTTTAATAAATAAATTTATTTTTATGTATATTGATTAATAAATAAATAAATATATATATATAATATTAACATAAAAAGGCAAAAGTATGTCACATTTCTTAATTTTACGTGAAATTATTTTTTTTTAAAAATGTTTGGATAGGATCATAGGATAAGAAAACCACTTATTTATTGGGCTAAAGCCTAAAACCATGGGCTGTTAGGGCCCAACCTGCTTTCACAAATTGGTCTGAAATCGTGGGCTGGTCTAACATGTGTTCAGTTCAAAAAGTTTTTTTTTTCTTTTTTGGTTTTTCTGCAAAGTAATATAAATGATTTTTTGAAATTAGATATTTTTAAGAGAACATAAATATAATAATAAATTGTTCAAATTTTTTTATTTTTTTATTTTTACAATTATAAAATATTAAAATATTATTTAATATTTAAAATTTTTGAACTTTAAAAATTTAAAACTTTTATACTCTTAAAATTACAGGACTCATTTTTTTCACTTTCAAAGTCAGGAATTAGGATTTTTTTAAAATTCTATTTTAGGGGTTTCAAAATTTTAAAATACAAAATAAAATCTTATACGGGTAATTCATTTTTTTTCCTTTCTTATTCCGGCATAAAATCGTGATACAAATGGAAATGTACTTTTTACTTGCTAATATGTTAAATATTAATTTTATATTTACATAATTTATATAAGCATACATAATCAACCGATTACTTTTAGCCTTCCTATTCATAATCAGATTGAATTAGCCCGAGTAAATGCCAATTTATTTTCCAATAAATTGTAGATTATTTAAGTTTATGTTAAGTACTCATATACCAATTGAAATTAATATTAAATATTTTTGAATATTTGAAATTTGTTAAATTAAGAATGGTAAAAAGATAAACAAATAAATTAAAAGGTAAAAATTAATATCAAATAAAAACTTCCACGTCCAAGCCAAATGCAGAAATGACACAGAGGAATCTCTTCCGAGGCCAAGTACAATTGTCGAAAGAATAAAAAATTTCTCAATACCTATTTACTTAATCTAACATTTTTTATACTAACTTTTTATATATTTTTATAGTTATATTTATCTATTTTACAGTTTGAAATTAATTTTATTTAACATATTATAATTGTTTATCTACAAAAATACACTTTCACATATCACGTATTCAAATCTGATTCTTCTTTATACACAAAAAAAGTGTCTTGTTACTTATTTTATACCCATTGAATTTATTTACATACTAACCTAAATATAAAGGTAAAATAAAATAAATAATTTTATCCTTGACCTTATCCCAAACTCTAATTTTATCCCTCAAGTCTCATGTCTCTCTTATCACTTCATAATAATTATCTCTAACAAATTTTTACTCTCCATAAATTAATTGTGAAAAAAAAATAACGTAATAAATTTCATAAATTTTCCTGAAGAATTCAAAAACTTGCCATGTTTACGACAAAAAAGTGAAATAAAACGCGCACTTTCTTTCTTTTCACTTTTTAAATTTTACTTTATTGATTTTGAACGGTGTGGACTTCCTGTTTGCACGGCGTTGAATTATGGCTAATGAGTTACGAGCTGTAATTTCTTTTATTTTTTTCTTTTCTTCTTTTTTGGGAGAAGTGAACGTTGGCGACCAACGTAAACCGAACGGAGATACGCTCCCCTACGACCAATTCAACGGGGGAGAGAGACAAATGGCGGAAGAACGGTGTCCGGTTCTACTTTTAATCCATCGGACCGTGTAACGAGAATGACGTAAATGCCCTTTTCAATAATGCAAATCCTCCGCAATTTTTTCATCGTATTAAATATTCTATTATTTTGGATCTCGTGCACTCTTTCCCGGAAACAATTTTGTTTCCATAAAATAGAAAATTGTGCTGCTAACATCAAGTGTAGGAAGAGGGAAATTCCTAAAATTATATTTGGCATTTATAGGCTCACCCACTTGATTTTTCTTTTTTTTTAAATGCGGTCTTGTTGGTTGTACCTTAGTATTATTTTGGGTTGACGGACAGCCCTAGATTTTAGGGCAAGCTGCCTTAATTGGTCTGGTTAGAGAAAGGGAAAAATGGTTTGCCAAGACTTGTCCCACAAGACGGGCAATTATTAGTGGCCACATTGCTTTCTTTATGTGGCCCGTCTCACTCGCATTGATACATTTAGTTATAGAATAAATAACGTTGCCATGTGGCCACGTGGGCAGGGACCCCGAGAGAGGGCCAGCCTATTGGTCATGTTTCCTTCCCCTGATGAGTTGTCCATTTCTTATCCTTCTTCCATTTTAGTGAATTTGAGGATAAGTTTTTTTTTGGTAGTCGTCTCCTGGCAGGGGATTGTTTAATAATATAATTTAATATTTGAAATTATACTATTTAAAATTAAAATTAGCTAAAAATATGTTTAAAGTTTAATTGATATGGGTTTCGCTTTATTTTTAATTGTAACGATTAAATTTAATTCCCATTATTTATAAATCCATATAATTTAGATCTTTAGATTTTAAGAGAAATAAACTATTTTAATACTTAAATTTTTGTAGTTTTATCTAAAGGGGTCCAAATAATTTAACGTGACTTAAAATGATCAATTTAAAAAATGATTGGTCCATGAGATAAAGAGAAAATGAGCAAATTAAATAATGAAAACAGAACTTTGAAAATGAATTTTTTTTTTTGGCGGCCTATGTCTAAGCAATAAAACCTAGATATATAGAGTGAGGAGAGCCGAGAAGGTTGTTGCATCAATTGCTTCGTATAATGATTATGTAAAAACATGATAAAACATTCCAAACATGGCACTAGCTGCTCAATAATTTGAATTAGACAAAGCTAACCTTACATGTGAAGCATATTAACATTAGTAGCATTATCCCTATAATTAAAGTGGCCGTCCTGTCGGTTGCTTAAGGTGGCGGAAGTAAAAATCGAAACTTTAAATAGAAAACTTGATATCCGTTTTATCGGTGGCTTAATAGAAAATATGCAACTCCATGTCAACTGGTGCATCTCCGGTGTCTGCGTGCTATGCTACTTCCCAACTTTTCAGCATTTAAGTCTTTGACCTTTTGTTTATGATTTATAAAAATAAAAAGCAAGTTTTTTTATTATTATAATAAAATATATTTATATAAAACTAAGATAGTGGTTGATTTATTACTGCCAATACGTCAGTTTTTTATTCAAATTTAATATAATTGAATTTAAATCTTTATTATTTAAATTTAATTAAAATGCATAATAGATTAGATTTGATTATTTTTATAATTTGAAATGAGTGAATTAGATATCGAATTAAGTCATTTAATAAATTAAGTATATGCATCTAAATTTTAATAATTTTTATTAAATTAATAATAATATATATAATATTAGTAAATTTAAATTTACTGAGATTAAATTGAAAAAATTAATGTATTTGATTAAGGAGGGTTTAGAAATTTAAGCATAAAAAATATTATTTACTTATTAAATCTATTTTTTAAATAATTTAAAATTATTCATCATATACACGAGTATGAATTAAAAAACATGGATCAGATTTAGTTATAAACGAGTGATCAAAAATGGATATGGGATTAGTCTAATTTAAGTCAAATTTAACATAATGATGGCTTTAATTAGATTACACTAAAAAAATTGGATTTTATAAAGTTATGCTTTCAGGGCTTTTTTAGCCTTTTTGTTCACGTAGAAAAAGTTTAAAAAATTTAGAAGTCTGTTCAACTAGTTTTGGGGGCTATTTTGGGTTTTTAATTTTGATTTTGAA